CTTGATTTCATTGCATTTAATGTTTCATATAAAATGTCATAAATATGTGATACACGCCGTGCGCTGCTGATAACAAGCTTCCATGACATTGTAAAAGGAGCTCTTCTTCACATGAATGTGAGATAAGAGAGTGTGCTCACTGCTGGAGTGTGCAGGTGCTCGGGCTCAGGCTGTGGGATGGACTCTTGAGGCTGCGTTTGGGGCGACTCGCTGCCGGGACTTGTGGGATGATGCAAACGAGTCGACGCATGGCTTATGAGCTAACTACACACTTTGTTAGTAGGCTACTATGCCTGAACATCATCCTGAGCCAGAGAGAGACAGACAGCCAAGCTACGCCTGAGATGCAGCAAAGCCTCCCCATCAGGAGCAGTAATGGATTAAAGGCCGCTGTGGCTCTGCAGTTTGCCAGTCAATGTTCTCTCGCTCTCTTCCGACCCGAGCCCCCCCCCTCCCCTGTTGCCTTCCCGCTGGAAGAAGTTGATTTGCCATCAATTGCCATCTTGACTGGCACCATTAATGCACGCCCACAAAAGGATGACACATCGCATTATCACCTCACTCCCTTTCAAATTAGAGCTGAGCGATGCCTCTGCGCAGCTTGTGACTGGTTAACACTATCAGCTATTTGTAGGGATTGTTCCCTAATACGCAGCGTCTAAAGATTTCATCAGGCATTTGATGACGGAAATAAACCACTGCCCACAGGGAAATTGAACTGATTAATGGAATTATGTGTTGGAGGGGAGTCGATACATGGGGATGAGCTGTCTGTCATGGAGCAGGAGAGGAGAGGATTCTGGGATTAAAACCTGTGCTCCAGTCTGAGGATGAGTCCACCATACGGGTCCTGCTGGATACAGATTACAGCATGTCATCCTCCTCACAGCACAATACGTCTTACCATAGGAGCAGCACTGAGCTTCTTCTGCTTTTGTGCTCTTATTCGGAGCCCTCACTCAGACCAGCCACCCCCCCCCCCCCCCCCCCCAGCATTAAGTGCTCTCTTAGTCCGCCCTAATGCACAGCTACCCCGACAAGCGGCAGACAGACCCCCTTCCACCAGCAGAGCCCAGTCTGCTCTGCTCCACATTAACAAATCTTGCTGCTGAATTGTTTCTCTCTCAGGAGGACGCACACAGGTTGCTATGGTTCTGTAACCATCAGCCATCAGCTGTGGAGAACACTTTTATCATCAGCTCTTATAGGCATTGTATGTGAGCTATAACAATAATGGAGAATTATTTTATTGCTACACATCTTAGCTTGAATAGATTCAAGGGTAAAAAAGAGGCATTGTACTGTATGTTTAAACACACTCAGCCTGTTGACAGGGACACAATTGCTAAAATAACAAGTGGTATGATCACACACTAACAAAACAACTTTTATATTTATTATTCAAAAGTGTTTGTGTTGTTTTAAAGAGAAGTTTTAGGTTAAATATTGAAGTCAAGGGAAGATACAGAGAGCGCCTCAAGGCCAACCAAGCATCAAGAATGAAATAAAAATAATCAGTTGTTAAATGACCTACAGTATATTTGATATTTCTTAGCTGTTTGTAAACTCATGAGTTTCCGTTACATTGTGTGTGAGCTGTGCTTTGTGGTACGGTTGGTGAACTCTGGCAATGTGTTGCTGTAGCTGTTCCCATCTTTATTGAATCAACCTTTGCCAAAGCAAATCACTCAGGTGAATAAGTCATTTTTTGTTACATTTGATTTGAACAAAACCTGCAACCAATTCAATATCCTCGTGCTATAAGAGCTAAGAAATGTGTCCTAAAACTTTCAATATTGTGTACATTTTAGAAACTTAATCAAACTAACTGCTGTGTTTTAAAGCATTAACAGCTTTTGTAACAATATAGGAAGAGGCTTGGTCAACATAATGAGCAAAGTTTAACATAATTGGACATGTCTTTTATTTTATTCCCCAGTTGAGTTTGGACCATGCAGAGTCAAAAGAGAAGGATTTAAAAACCAGCCTCTAACAACATTTGGTTTGAAATTGAGAAGAAATATAATAAATGGTACTGCCTTAATTGTTTTTGTATGTCAGGATCAGCGGGTAACTATGGGTGGGTATTTATGAAAAGAACACGGTTAAGCACTGGTTTCCAAATGCTGCAATGTATTCCTTAAAGTAAATGATCACCTACGTTAATACTAAGATAACCTTCATTACGCAGCTGAGATGGATCCTCTTCCTCTGAGAGATGTGGCACTTCTTCTTTACCAAGTGAAAGCACTGAGCACTCTGTCCATGCTGATCATAACGAGGATTATTAGAGAGATTAGAAATCCTTCATCTGCCTGTTTTAATCTTCCCCTTAGTACAGATATAAATGGGAAGTGCATTGATGTAACACTTACTTTAGTCTTTGGATAACTGTAACAAAGTGCTTTAACAACACAAGTCAGGATTCATACAAGCTGCACCTGCTCAACTGACAGGAGCGAGACACATTCACACACACCCACACACTGTTGGACATGCCACCAGGAGACATCTTGGGGATCGGTATCTTGCCAAAGGACACTTGGACACGCTGACCACAGGGCATTGAACTACCGACCTTCGGATTGGGATACTCCTTCCTGCTCCTATAAGCCCCAGCTGCCCTCTGTAATATACACCGTCTGTCTGAATCGTATTCATTCAAATGTCTGATATATTTGGAGGTTCAGCGACCTGAGATGCACATTAGAGGTGTTTCATCTGAAAAGAGTGTCGCAGTGAGAAGAAAAGATGATGTATTTATGCAGGGAGAACACACAGAGTGATCAACAGCAGACCTGGCTCTTCTTGTGCAAACCTGCTTTATTTATCCTCAAAGCTTAAGCAGGAGCGCCCTCTGGTGCATCGTCAGTGAAACTGGAACAAGTCCAATCAAAATACACTGACCAGATGAAGTAGAAAAAGTGCTCAAACATTCCCAGCACAAACAAGCAAACCACAATGTACACAGTGACCTCTGTACTGAAGGAAGTGAAAAGCCAGTAAGGTTCAAAAATGACTAGGAGATGTAACAGTTATCCTTCAGTATGCATAAAAGTCATCTTTTTATTTTCATTGTAAAATTAGAATTATGGAAGGCCTCATGATTTATAAATAAATAAATAAAATTGCTCTTTTTGTCATTTCACAGTACAGGTATGTAACGAAATTGTTCCTCTGCATTTTGACCCATCCTAGTGTTAGGAGCAGTGTGCTGCCGTGTCCGGCGCCCGGGGAGCAGTGTAGGGAACGGTGCCTTGCTCAGGGACACCTCGGAAGCACTTGGTCTTGCCGGGACTCGAACTGGTGACCTTCCAGTTGCCAAGCCAAGCCCCTATCGACTTCGCCACTCGCCACCACCACTATGACATCAGATTAAGTACGGTTGGACAGTTAGGATCAAATATTTCTAGAGAACATGGAAATGTTTCCGAATGTCAGACATGCTCTATGGCCTCCTGGTACAGATCAGTATTAACATTCTGTCTAACTACCTTGTGCTTTATTTCAGAGCTTAATTCTCTATGAACACTCTTCTAGGATACACACAGAATCAGTTGTCATTAGACATAAACAGAAGGTGCCCCTTTCTATGTTAAAGTCCCCCCAACATTGTACATAGTTGACTGTATTACATCATTTAAAAAATGTCTATATTGATGATGTTATTAAAAATGTCTCTTACTACAATGTCAAGTTTCGAATCCAGGTGAATTTCAGATGTTAAGCTTAGCTAGGGCTCACTTCTTGAAAGACCATATTGTGTTTTTCTGTCATTCGTATCTCAAGGCAGTACGGTGACTCTTCCTGGTTTTCTGTATTGTTTTGTTTCACCACTTTCATTGTTCATTCCCAGTTCTTCTTCTGCTGTATAAAACCCATGCATATCTGGGAACTTCATCTGGAAAGAGTTTGCAAACATCCAACCTGTTTATGGGCTGTACCTCAATAACTGATGTTACTTTAAAAAGCAATTGTTCACATTTCCACCATCTGTAACATGGTGAATCCACAAATGCGTGATTGAAAACACAGACGGGCCAATTAGGCATCCAGTTTAAAAGCAGAGGGATAATATATCTCCTTCTCCAGTGCCTCTCCTTCAATCCCCTTAGTCAAGGCTTCTCTGCAGTGATCTGCTTTGCTGCAGATCCGGCTGAGACTGGAATCTTTGCTTCATGTCTGGAAACAACGAGACCTTTCACCCGTTAACTATAAACCGACACACACTCTCTAATGAACCTGCAGTTCATCTTTCAGGAAGTTGTGTCCTTTCATTCCTCAATTGTGCAAGCAATATTAAAAACCTTCCTCCAGGCTTTATTCGTCATCTTGCGATGACTTGCTCTGACAGTGATGGGAGTCAAACAGGCTTAGCTTTAGCTTGGAATGGTTTAGGGTAACAATGCAAAGAAGTAGACACACTGAACCCCCGGAGACAGTGTTTTTAAGCTTCTGGTAGTTGGTTCCTCAAATACATTAAATAAATCCCTCTTCCACTGGCAAGTCGATAATGAGATTACACACAGAGGCTGCGTGGAAAGTGGGCCGTGGAGAACAGCGGGGCTGAGTCAGGCTCATGATGACGAGAGGTGGAGGATAGTGTCAATCTACTGCCCCCCAAACTATAAAGAAATCATTCTTTCATCAGAAAAACTCTCTACTGTTAAAAGAGGGAGGGACATTGGAGGGATTAGAATATGGTACAAAGAAGAAATATCTGACTATCACCCTTGTAAAATATGAACGCTTTGGCTTAAAATAAAACAAAACCTCATCAACACTGCAACAGACATTTTCCTATGTGCCATCTACATCCCCCCTATTGACTCACCATACTAAGATGAAGAAATGTTCCCCTTCTCCATGAGCAGATCTGCAGTTCCCAGGCCCAGGGAAAGGAGTTTATCTGTGGAGACCTGAACACATGCACCAGCTCTTTACCTGACTTCAGTACAGAGCTAAGTAACATTCATATATTTGGACAAAACACAACTAACCTTCGTCGTTCCATCTCTGACCTCCAGGTCAACAGGTATGACCTCCTGCAGCTGTGTCTAAGCACAGAAGAGTTCCAGAAAGCACGAGGCAGTTAAACATGTCAATAACATCTTCATACAAACTAATATAATCCCAGTTTAAAAAATCAACCAAAAAATCCCAAAGATGACAATTGGTTTGAAACAATTTAGGAGAGTATCCAATCAAACACACAGAGATCCAGTAAATGTAGATTTGCGCCTTCTTTACTGTGAAACACTTACACACTATACAACTATACACACGAAAACTGATCTGAGGGGAGTTTCTTGTTGTTTATTTTTAACTTGTGATGTGTGCCATTTTGTAAAGCACTTTGAGCTGCACATGCTCTATGAAAAGTGCTATATAAATAAAGCTTTATTATTATTATTATTAAAAACAACTGACACTAATTGAGGAATCTATGAAAATAAACTGTTTCTGGGAAAAAATGTAATAATCTAAAAAAATCTAAATCTATACATTTGGAATTACAGAATGAAGACATATGGATCAGCCATTTTGAAACACTCGATGACATTACACCAAACAATCCCGACCCAAAACACAATTGTGCTGCCCCTTTAAGAGGGCCTGCAAAGGGTTTTGGGTTTTGCACTGTATGTCCATAAATGCTTGCCGTAGTTTCCTGTTTCTGGCTGTCTATGGAGCACATGGGTTGTTTCCTGTTTCTGGCTGTCTATGGAGCACATGGGTTGTTTCCTGTTTCTGGCTGTCTATGGAGCACATGGGTTGTTTCCTGTTTCTGGCTGTCTATGGAGCACATGGGTTGTTTCCTGTCAATGAAATCCTTGCTCAAATCCTAGGGCCTTTATGTCTGTAAGTACCATTCCATATATTTTCTGTATATACTTAGTTGCACATTTAAACTGATTATATGCAGAACATGTAGAATAATGAATAATGCTAAACTTGTTAGCCTGTGAGCAGCAGTTGAAATGTTTGTAGCATTTATCCTAACAGGTACTCTGCTGTTTAGAATGTTTGTTTAGTCTTGTTTATTTGTATTTAGTGCTTAATGTGACAACGTCTCATGACTGTGTGTTTTGTTTGTATTTCAGTTTTACAAAATGAAAATGGAAATGAAAATGAAAAATGGAAATTAATCAGTAAACATCCGAAACTGACCTGCTGTCTCCTGGGTGTTTATTCCTGATCTTGTTAAACTATCTGCAAAGCCTGCAATCTCAAAATATTCTTGTAAGGGCAGAATAGTGAAAAGACAATCACGCCTGTAGGATTTTCCACAGAATATTTGGATACTATTGGAAACAAACGCATTATTCTGTCATTAATGCTACAGTCTACATCAGGGGTGCCCAACCTTTTTTTAACCAAGAGCTACCTACTTTTAAAGTTGCCAGTATGCCGAGATCTACCAGTCCAAATAGAGAGGGGGGGGGGGGGCTGGGGTGCTAGGGGGGAGCCTCGCTGCGGGGAAACGGCGGACCTCTGTCGGTGCAACTTCAATGATGCCTTTTAAAAACATAAAAGATTAAGGGCGGTGACGGCCGTCAGCGAATCGAGCCGGCCCTTGACGACCGGCTGTTCTCTGATTCTCCAGATTCTCCAGATGGCCAGTCCGCGGAGGGTGGAAAATACATACCGGAAGTACAAAAAGACGTGCAACGGGACGGTGTTCCCACGGGAAACAAAACTTAAAATATTAAATGAAACAATCTCATCTCTTAAAATTCACAACTTATTATGAATTAAACATTCACAAACTTATAATTATGTATTCACATGTTTAACTCTGTTACATATGCACACAACGAACAGAAGAGCGTAGGGCCGAATTAGGAGGGAATTCCGTCTCGTAGCGTTTGTGCACTGTTTTGAAATGCCGCTCTAAATGACCCTTCTTCGATAAAGCCACGCTCGCATTGCAGATGAGACAGATGGACTTTGAATTGGAATAAACAAAAAAATAATCATCCTCCCACTCGGAGTGAAAATGATATATTTTGGGCTTTTTTGCTTCTGCCATAATAGCGGTCTTGTGTGTGTGCGGACTGTCACTCCTGTTGACACAGACAACGTCAGCTAACTAGTGCCCACTGCCCACCAGCCACGCCCCGACACATGGGGTCACGCCAATCACAAAGCTTTGATGCGTTCAAGTGCATTATTCTGGCACAGCAAGATTATGTTATAGGACATTAACGATAAAACAGAATAATGTTGTTCTATTTTTAGACGCATCTCGCGATCGACTGGTTGGGCACCCCTGGTCTACATGATGGAAGACAACAATGATGAGATTGAAACACGATCACAATCACCTCACGTTCAAGCCGCATGTCCTCAGCCAACACCATGGCAGCTAAAGCTTGTGCAAAAGCAGAGGCTGCTCATGTCCAAGCCTCTTTTTCACAAAGAGAAGCTGACATGATTAAAGCACAGGCATATATTGACGAGGAACAACAGATGGCTGCAGCTGAAGCTACAAGAAAGAAAGCTGAGCTTAAAGCTAGTCTAAACACATTGCGGCTAGAAAGTGCTGCTGCCATCGCTGAAGCTGAAGTTCTCGAAGCAGCTGCTGAGGGTGAATATGGAGATCCAGATCGTGCAAGCCTAAAGAGTGCGTACACTGAGCGTAAGTACAAAGGGAATCCAGTACCTGACTCTCACCAAGACTCAAAGCCACCACAACTCATATCCACACCGAGGCGCCAGCATGCAATGGACGACGGTGAGCTAGCTAAATGCTACATGGGAAGAGGTGCTGTACAGCCACGTGAGTTAATTGAAGGTGAATTTCCTGAATCACCTGCTCAACATGCACACAATCAGGAGAGAGATGCCAGCCAGATTTATCGCCCTGCTGAAAGTCCATCCAGAAACATCTACTGCCATCATGAGCAGTCACACGCAGCAAGACCATCCAGTCATGTATATCAACCTGCTCAGCCACATGCAGATGTTTCACCAAGAGCCAATGAGTCTAGTTCATCAGCTGCAGCAGATTTGGCCAAGTATTTAATACGTTGTGAAATGGTTAGCTAGGGGCTATTGCAGTTTGATGACCAGCCGGAAAACTATTGGGTCTGGAAAGCATCATTCCTCAGTTCCACAGAGGGCTTGAACCTGTCACCAAGAGAAGAGCTCGACCTCCTGTGTAAATGGCTTGGACCGAAATCCTCTGAGCATGCAAAGAGAATCACATCCACAATGCAGCAGCATGTGTCAATATGCTATGGCAGAGGTTGGAAGATTGTTATGGGTCACCTGAAGCAATAGAAAATGCACTCAAGAAAGTCGATTTCCCAAAAATCAACAACAGAGAAAATCAAAAGTTGAGAGCTGGGAGACATTCTTCTGGAGCTTGAAGCCGCCAAGGCAGATGGATTTCTATCTGGTCTGAGCTACCTAGACACATCTCGTGGCATCACTCCAATCATCCAAAAGCTGCCATATTCCCTGCATGACAAGTGGGTCTCTCTAGCATCACGTTACAAAGAAACACACAGAGTATCGTATTCATCTTTGCAAAGTATGTTTGTGACCAGGCCAAGATACTCAATGATCCAAGCTTTGCCCAGCTCCCAGGTGGTCAGAGTATAAGCAAGACTGAGGAGCCTTTCAAACCCAACATGAGAACGCCAGTCTCTGTAAGGAGGACAGAGGTATCAGCAGACTTTGATAACGGCTATGAAAGCTCAACAGAAAAAAGAGCTGTCGACCCAGATAAGCAATGTCCACTTCACCACAAACCACACCCTCTCAGGAAATGCCATGGTTTCAGGTATACATCTCTGGATGAGAGAAAAGCCTATCTTAAGGATTCAAACATTTGCTTTAGGTGTTGTGCAACAACCAGCCACCAAGCCAAAGACTGTGACAAAAAGGTTCAGAGCAGAGAGTGCAACAGTGACCGCCACCCTACTGCACTACATCCAGGGCCGGCTCCATGGACAAAAGGGGCCGCCGTAACCTCAAGATATCAAGGCGGGGAGCAAAACAAATCTCTTCCTTTCGCTGTCACGTCAAAATGCACTGACATCCGTGGGACTGCAGTACGGCGAAGATCATGCATCAAGATTTGTCTAGTCAGAGTGTATCCAGCAGGCCAGAGAGAGAGAGAGCTGTTAAAACATATGTCATCCTAGATGAGCAGAGTAACCCCTCCACCCCTGTCCCTTTCCCCTCTCTGACCACAAACTCATACAGTTCATCATCGCATCCCCCGTCCGCCACCCCCCCCCACCCAGGAACATCATCTTCCGTAATTTACGCTCTGTCGATCCCCAGCACCTCTCCGACCTGCTATCCTCTACTCTCCCCCTGGACTCGAACCTCAGCTCACCCGATGAACAACTCAACCACCTTAACTCCACCCTACTCGCCTCCCTCAACAGCCTGGCCCCCCTCAAAAGGAAAAACGTCACTTTCAAAACCTCCTCACCCTGGTTCACCCCTGCACTCCGAAAATTGAAGCAAACCGGCCGCCAGCTTGAACGCCTATCCATGAAATCATCCCTCACAGTTCACCATGAATCATACAAACTCCACCTCACTACCTACAGAGACGCCCTCACTGCCGCAAAATCTGCCTACTTCTCCACCATCTTTACCGACCCCTCCCGTAACCCCAGGACCCTCTTCTCCACCGTCAACAAGCTCCTCAAACCCCGTGCTGACACCCTCTCTTCATCCACTTCCACCTTATGCAGTTCATTCCTCCAGTTTTTCTCTGACAAAATCACTGCCATTAATCTCTCCCTATCCACTGCTTCTCACACACAAACATCTCCCCCAACACCCACCGCCACAACTTCTCCCTCCATCTCCCTGGACCGCCCGAGCCCCCCTCCCCACGGCCGCCTCTCCCAGTTCACTCTGGTTACCCCCCCCTGAAATACTCAAACTGATCAGCTCCTCCAAACCCACAACCTGCTCGCTTGACCCCTTACCCACCCCTCTACTGAAGTCCTGCCTCCCCGTCCTCTGCCCTTACCTTGTCAACCTTTTCAACTCCTCCCTGTCCCAAGAAACCGTTCCCTCTGCCTTCAAAACTGCTGCTGTCACTCCCATCCTCAAGAAACCCGGTCTGGATCCCTCCTCCCTCAGTAATTACCGCCCCATCTCCAACCTCCCCTTTCTCTCAAAAACAATAGAACGTATCATCTCCAAACAACTCCACCGCCATCTCCAAACAAATCACCTTTTTGAACCCCTTCAGTCTGGTTTTCGTCCACATCACAGCACAGAAACGGCACTCACCAAAGTCCTCAACGACCTCCTCACCTCTGCTGACACCGGTTCACTCAACATCCTCATCCTCCTCGACCTGAGTGCAGCCTTCGACACCGTGAGCCACAACATCCTGCTCACCCGACTCCAGGACATCGGTATCGAAGGTACTGCACTCAGGTGGCTCCAGTCCTACCTCTCCGACAGATCCCACTTCATCTCCCTCAACAACCACTCCTCTGCCACAGCTTCAGTCACCCAAGGTGTTCCCCAAGGTTCAGTACTCGGCCCCCTCCTCTTCATCATCTACATCCTCCCCCTTGGTCAGATTCTACACCACTACAACCTGGACTTTCACTGCTACGCTGATGACACACAGATTTACCTCAGCACCAAATCCCCCCACAACCCCCCCCTCACCCACATCGAATCCTGTCTGACTGCTATAAAATCCTGGATGGCACACAACTTCCTCAAACTCAACAGCAATAAAACTGAACTCCTCCTCATCGGCTCCAAATCCACCCTCAGCAAAACCCCCAACCTGACACTCACCATCGATGGCACCCCTATTTCCCCCTCCACCCAGGCACGCAACCTTGGCGTGATATTTGACCCCACCCTCTCCCTCGAGCCCCACATCCGCCAAGTTGTTAAAACCTCATTTTTCCACCTCCGCAATATCGCCAAACTCCGTCCCTCTCTCACCCGCCCTGCAGCTGAGCGACTCATTCACGCCTTCATCTCCTCCCGCCTGGACTATTGCAACGCACTCCTCTACGGCATCAGCACTACATCCCTCAATAGACTTCAGCGTGTCCAGAACGCAGCCGCCAGACTCCTCACCCACACCAAATCATGGCATCATATCACCCCGGTCCTCAAAGAACTTCACTGGCTCCCCGTTTCACACCGCATCCAACACAAACTCCTGGTACTCACCTACAAAGCCCTCCACCACCTGGCCCCCCCCTACCTCACTGACCTCCTCATCCTCTACCAACCACCCCGGTCCCTCAGATCCACCTCAGCCGGTTTGCTTTCCATCCCCAAGGCCAAACTCCGGAGCTTTGGGGACAGAGCATTCTCTGTGGCAGCCCCGAAGCTCTGGAACTCCCTCCCCCAAGACCTCCGTGAGTCCGAGTCCCTCACCCTGTTCCAGTCCCGCCTCAAAACCCATCTCTTCAAATCTGTATACCCATAAGCCCCCCCCCCCCCACCCCCCACTTCCTCCTGACTGCTTTCTGTTTTTTTTGTTTTTTTTTGTTTTCTGTTTTGTTTTTGTTTTGTTGTTGTTTTGTTGCCTGTCCTTGTCTGTCTACCCTTCCCCAAATGTAAAGCGTCTTTGGGTTTAGAAAAGCGCTATATAAATAGAATTTATTATTATTATTATTAGTAATAAGTCCTTGGCAAAAACAGAGTTTTTTTAACTCTTCGATGTTAATGATGGCACAGCATCCTACACCCTGAAGACATGTTCAGGAGTCTTTGAAACCTCAGGGCGGCGATCAAACAACTACATCATGGAGTCATTGGACGGCAAAACGTGTATTCCACTTCCCACTCTAATCGAATGTGGTATGCTAAGTCGGAAATTCCCAGGCCTGAAATCGCAAAGCACTACACGCATCTCAAACGGGTTGAGGATAAGATCCCTGCACTAGTTTCCTGTTTCTGGCTGTCTAGGGAGCACATGGGTAGTTTCCTGTTTCTGGCTGTCTATGGAGCACATGGGTTGTTTCCTGTTTCTGGCTGTCTAGGGAGCACATGGGTTGTTTCCTGTTTCTGGCTGTCTAGGGAGCACATGGGTAGTTTCCTGTTTCTGGCTGTCTAGGGAGCACATGGGTTGTTTCCTGTTTCTGGCTGTCTAGGGAGCACATGGGCAGTTTCCTGTTTCTGGCTGTCTATGGAGTACATGGGTAGTTTCCTGTTTCTGGCTGTCTATGGAGCACATGGGTAGTGTCCTGTTTCTGGCTGTCTATGGAGCACATGGGTTGTTTCCTGTTTCTGGCTGTCTATGGAGCACATGGGTTGTTTCCTGTTTCTGGCTGTCTAGGGAGCACATGGGTTGTTTCCTGTTTCTGGCTGTCTAGGGAGCACATGGGTTGTTTCCTGTTTCTGGCTG